GGGTGGGTGAAGGGAGACGCCGGGAAGTATAAGATAAGATATAATAATAATTTATAAATTATTAAGGGTTCATGAGGGAGGGGGGAGGGAGGGGGAGGGGGAAAAAGGAAAATGAGCTAATTCCAGGAACCCAAGAGGAAAACAAATTTTGAGAATGATGAGGGCAACAAATTTATAAGTGTGTTTTACACAATTGATCTATGTATTGTGATGAATTATATGAGCCCCAATAAAATGATTTTTTTTTAAAAAGTGAGAGCCTTCAAATTCCATAAAAAGGGAAACTCCTTAAGATCTGCTATTGAGGATAATGAGTGTACAAATGTGCTTTACACTATGGATGTATGTATGGATTGTGAAGAGTTGTATGAGCCCCCTAATAAAATGATTAAAAAATAAGAATAATTGTGCGTGCTTCAGCAGCACATGCACTAAAATTGGAACGATACTGAGAAGGTTAGCATGGCCCCTGCGCAAGGATGACAGACAAATTCGTGAAGCACTCCATATTGTAAAATAATAACTTAAAAAAATATCTGCTATTGAATTTACCTGCAGATTTTTATTAGCCTTGCTGCCGACATGATCAGGTGTCTCTCCCCAGAGGTGCTCTCCCCAGACCAGCCTGCCAACCACCTGCAAAGGGCTGCAGAGCACAGAGGAGGGGGCTCGCCTGGAAATGGGGGAGGAGGGTGACTCTGAGCTCGTCCTTGACGAATGAGCAGGTTTAGGCCAAGAAACAAAGCGTCCATCAAAGGGCAAAAGAATAGGAATGTACCCATCCTTGTTTTTACTTCTGGTTCCTGTCTCTTGTTTCAGGGGAAAAGCAACCGCCCTGTAAAAGGTGACTCCAAGAACAAGTTAACCAACAGGAGCGTTGGCTCTGACACGGCCACCTCAAAACCGACAGAGCGCGGACCCCCGCCTGAGGAGCGCCCCCTCTCTGTGTCAAGTGGATGTGGGCTGAACGAGGAGAGGGCCACGCGGTACGGCAGTGTCACCGGCCTCAGCAGCAATGACAGTGCCCTCCGGGAGTTAGACGATGACGGACAGTTCGATCCGGAAGATGGAGGCACTCAGGTCACTTGCATGTGAGCAAGGAGGTAAAGGAACGGAAGGCCCTATAAATACTTGTGGAAATGATAGCCAACGGACCCTACTCTGGCTGCAAGTATGTACTGCTCTGACTCCGGCCAGACTCAGACATGCCTCTAATCTGTATAAGCTTCCACCCGACCTCTAAGACAAGGAAGGATAGCCAGTGTTTCTAAATTTAGAATTGTGTTTACACTTCTCTCAATTAAAACAGCTGTTTAAACAGATGTTTCCATAGCTTGGTAAGTGATAATCTCCTTCAGTTTCTTGTGAATGTACAACATGCACTTTTATGCTGTTCCTGGGAGGAAGACTAAATATCTCGATCTGTATGTTACTCAGCTAGAGAGTTCTCAGGAAAGCAGTCTTAACATATGCTGAAAAATCATCTCTCCTTATCTCTCTGTCTCTCACACACATACACACACATCTAGACACAAATAAAGGCCTACTTAAGGAACAGAAATCGCCACAATCCAAATGTTGTCTTCAACTATGGACCTGTGCAAAAACAACCCCTTACTCCTGAAATACTTTGGGGCAAAAAAACAAATCCTTTTTCTATGTCTTGCTTTTACAGAGTCACCAGGGGTTTATTAAGCCATGTTTCTCCTAACGGCCTAGAATTAAAGAGAGCAAAGGTGCATCCCTTAAAGTGCAATACTACAAAAAAAAAGTTCAATACTACAAGAACTAACAATCTCCATGTGTGAAAAACTGGACAAGAAAGATTCATTTGCTTTCTTTTAAAATGTATTATGGGAGGGGGCGGCAATGAGCATTAAGTGCAAAGGGAAGTCTTTTACATCTATATAGATGTCAATAATGCTGTTATGTTGACTTGCTAAATCCTGTGGGGTAGGAAGGTACGCAGTCACCCCCTGCTCCATCTCTGCTTTTCATGCCTCTGTTAGTGGGATGCCTTTGCCATGGCCTCGCCACAAGTGCAAACAGGTAAAGATTAAAATTCCACAAGCTCAAGAGCATTCATTTTTCTACAGAAGGCTTGCTTTGAAAAGTGAGAACTGTCGAATAAATTCCAACTGACTATACCATTGAATTCAGCCTGTCGATTTTAATTAACAGGGGTGTTGACATTGTAAGCTCATTTACATAATCAACTATCATTTGTTATGAATTCTTCTTTTCTCAAATGCAAATACATATAATATATTGTAGATGTATAACAGGTATGTATTACAAGTTACCAACAATATAGTACAATGATACTAAGCCAGTCTCCGTGAATGGTTGCTAGGGTTAACCTAGAATTATTCCACTCAGTAAAGGAAGAATGTCCATAAGTATAAAGGAATTCAGGACTCTTCTGAAGAGTCTTAAACAACTTAAAAGTAGAGTGTAGAACAGCAGTTCTCAACCTGTGGGTCTCGACCCCCTTGAGGGTCGAACAACCCTTTCACGGGGGTCACCAAAGACCATCAGAAAACACATATTTCTGATGGTCTTAGGAACCAAGACCACTCCTCTATCCATCTTCAGGCGGGGCCACCCACATGCAGATATGCCCACATACGAGTACCGGGCATGAAGACTTACTCATGCTACACCATGCTTCAAGACAAAATTTCGTTTATTTGTCATTAGAAATAAATATTTCACAGTATATAATTACATATTGTTTTGTCATTAATCACTATGCTTTAATGATGTTCAATTTGTAATGATGAAAATACATCCTGCATATCAGATATTTACATGACGATTCATAACAGTAACAAAATGACAGTTATGAAGAGCAACGAAAATAATTGTATGGTTGGGGGTCACTGCAACATGAAGAACTATATTAAAGGGTCGCAGCATTAGGAAGGTTGAGAACCACTTCTGTGGTGGCTTGCAGGCTGCTGTAATGTTGGAAACTATGTCACCAATAGTTCAAGTATCAGCAGAGTCACCCAAGGTGGACAGGTTTCAGTGGGGCTTCTAGACTAAACACAAACTACAGAGAAGGGCTAGGCTGTCCACGTATGAGGGATTAACCATTGAAGATGTTAGGAACAGCAGTAAAACGCTGTCAAATATAAGGCTGGGAGATGAGCCTTAGGGTGGCAGGCACTGAAAATACAACTGGGAAAAGCTGCCTCTTCAAAGGGGAGTAGACAGTGCTGTAGATGGAGTAAAGCTCTCAAGACCTTCAGCTGCTGATGGAACACGACTCTCCACGAGCGGTTTGAACCCATCCAGCTGTTCTTCAAGGGAAAGACCTGGTGATCTGTTCCCGTAACAATGAAAGGTAACAAAACAAAACATAACCCGAAACGAACAATGACAGCTAATGAAACCCTATGGGGCAGTTCTACTCTTGTCACATGGGGTCACAAAAGGTCAAATTAGACTACAGCACTAACCACAACAATAGAAGAGTACATATAGAACAAACCATGTGACCCAATCAAAAATTTTAAACATGGCCCAGTGGAGAAACCCTCATGTTGGGGTGACCCCAACCATATAATTATTTTCGTTGCTACTTCATAACTGTAATTTTGCTACTGTTATGAATCGTCATGTAAATATCTGATATGCAGGATGTATTTTCATTGTTATAAATGGAACATAAAGCATAGTGATTAATCACAAAACAATATGTAATTAAATATAGTGAAATATTTCTTTTTAATTACAAATAAATAAAATGTTGTCTTAGCACAAGGTGTACCATGGGTAACAATCTTAATATAACAACAGTAAACTATATTGCAACACTTTACGACAGTATGCGTTAAAAGCCAAGTCAGTTCGAAGGTTGAGACAGCTTCTTTCTCACCAGATCAGCAGATCTGCGTGTGGGCGGACCCGTCTGGAGACGGATAGAGGAGCAGTTTCTGGGTTCCTAAGACCATCGGAAATATGTGTTTTCTGATGGTCCTAGGCAACCCCTTTGAAGGGGTCATGACTCACAGGTTGAGAACCGCTGCTGTAGAACCTAGAGCTTCATTGATCATTTCATGAGGGCAAGAATCAAGCAGGCACATGTCATATGAATAAATTGTTCTTAGATTAGGGTTTGTAATTAAGTGCAAACTCAAAACCCATTAATCTATCGAATGTATGTATATCCCAGGTCTACTTTAGAGGCAGCAATATCAGATTCTTGAAAAAATAATGTGAGTAGTATGCGGGGGACTTTTGGTAATTCTATGAATAATATCCTTCATCTAGCTAATAGTATAGAATTTAAAATGCTAGTATGAAAAGGAACACATACATGTATAGGAAAGCTTATTAGACTAAAATATATGAATATTCTACAGGTTAAAAACTTAAGTTTTTAATTTAAGAGTACTGCTTATAAGAACAATGGGGTTAGACACAAAGCAAAAACGTTGACATGTATTCACTGATGCAGAACTATGCCTGCAGAATTACACACTAGTGCTTACTAATGTGAAGAAAAAATTAGCCAGAAACAAAACTGGTGATGCATAATGATGCTCATAAATCCAAGTCCCCAGTTGTGGAAATTGCTCCAGTCTTTGCCTTCCCACCTTCATCCTCTCCACCAGCTAGCTGCCCCATGTCTCGCTCTCCCTCGCTCTCGCCCTCATCCTAGCCATCCAGTAGGTCAGAGCTCACAAGTTAGAAGAATAGCATCCTTCAGACTACCAAATGGGTGGGCAGCATGTGCAAGTTTGGGGAGGCCATCGGACACCCCAACCTGTTGTCGTTGTTGATAGGTGCCATAGAGTCAGTGTGGACTCGTAGCAATCCTGTGCCACACAACGAAACACTGCCTGGTCGCACTGTCCTCACAATCATCGTCATGTTTGAGCCCCTCGCTGCATGCCTGACATGCACTGGGTCCTGTTCATCCCTCGCCATCATTCAGATGCAGTGACTGACATGCTGGCCACCAGTTCGGGCTGACTTTCTCTTGTCCCTGCAGCCTGTTTCTTGGCATACCACACAGCATCCTACCTACTCCTGTTGTCCCTTCCAGTTTGGCAATTTTCTAGAACCACACACAGAATTCACAGAGAATCTCTTATACTTGTAATGACGGATTGATTATCGTCACAAGAATACACACAAAGAGGTACACAGGGCCAGTAAGATCTGGGAGAGTTCCCAACATGAAACTGCCATGATCCAGTGGATGAGCTCTCTTCCCAAAATGATTGTTCTCATCCACCAGGAAGAGCCAGGCTTTTTTCAGCCAGGCCTGCATGACAAGCTAGAAGTCTGTGAAACGGATTGACATAGGGCCTCTCTCTCTCTTTTTTTTTTAATCATTTTATTAGGGGCTCATACAACTCATATCACAATCCATACATACATCAATTGTGTAAAGTACATTTGTACATTCATTGCCCTCATCATTCTGAAAACATTTTCTCTACACTTCAGCCCCCGGCATTAGGTCCTCATTTTCCTCCTCCCTCCCCACTCCCCCCTCCCTCATGAGCCCTTGATAATTTATAAATTATTATTTTGTCATATCTTGCCCTGTTCGACGTCTCCCTTCA